CTGCGAGCTTCTTGTACAAGAACTCTTTTGTGGAAGAGTTCCTCTGCAAAAACTCTTCCAGAAGAGAGCATCTACACTGGCATGTGCTTTTGCGCAAGAGATGTGCTTTTGCGCAAGAGCATCCATGCCAGTGTAGATGCTCTCTTGCACAAGAAAACTCTGATGGCCATTTTAACCATAGGGCTTTCTTGTACAAGGAATTCATGTCACCTGTCTACACTGGCCTCTTGTGCAAGAACAGTTGCACAAGAGGGCTTATTCCTGAGCGGGAGCATCATAGTTCTTGCGCAAGAAGCCCTGATTTTATACAGTAGAACGTCAGTTTACTTGCGCAAGAATACATGGCCAATGTAGACAGCCAGCAAGTTTTTGCGCAAGAGCGGCTGCTTTTGCGCAAGATCGCGCCAGTGTAGACACAGCCACAGGGAGCATCTGTGGAAAATGAAGGAATGCAAGAAGCCCTAGTATGTGTAACATGCTTGACCCACACAAGTGGCAAAGTGTGCAAATCTCTAGTTCAGCAGTCACCAACCAGTAGATCGGGATCTACTAGTAGATCTTTGAGCCTCTGAAAGGCTATCTAGGGTGGGCACTTCAGCTACTCTTCCCCCCACTGCTGTGCATCTCCTGCCCTTTGCCTTGGGAGTTGTCTCCTCAGGAACCTCCTGCATTCTGTGCCGGGCAATGAAGGGTGAGGACGGGTGCTCACATCAAGGTGCTGCCTCTCCCACTCTGTATCCTATCTCCACAGACCAGAGAGGAGACACAACAGGACTTGGGATAGAGTTTGCTGGCTGCTTTTGGGAATGGAGCAGGGTCAAGGTAAGGGTGAGCCTGCCTTAGCCCCATTCCACCACCACCCAGGAGCCACCTGAGGTAATCATTGTCCGGCTGGAGCCCATATCCTGAAACCTTACCCCAGTCATGAACCCCCTACTGCACCCCAAACCCCTGCCCTAGCCCTGAGTACTCCTATATCAAAATGCCCTCCAGAGTCTGCATCTAGAACACCCTCTGGCATCTCAACTGCTTGCCCCAAGCTCAGCTCAGGGCCCCTCTCACACGCCAGATCCCTTACTCCAAAATCAGAGCATGCACCCCAACCCTCAGCCACAGCTTAGTGAAAGTGAGGGAGGATGGGGGAAGGAGGGAGGATGGAGTGAGCAGGGGTGGGGCCTCGGAGAAGGACCACAAAGGAGGCCCAGCAAGGGTAATTGGGTTTGAGGTAGATCTTGGATTGCACTTAAACTCAAAAAGTGATCTCGTGCTTAAAAAGGTTGGAGACCACTGCTCTAGTAGCTAGTAATAGCTCCCTTTTTTTCTTTAAACTATGCTGAATGCTATTTTATAATCTCTGAAAAGTTTCAGAGGGGTAGCCATGTTAGTATGATCTGCAAAAACAAGAAGTCCTGCAGCACCTTAGGCTATGTCTACACTAGAAAAGTATTTTGAAATTACTAGATTCAGCTTAACTCCCAATTTAACAAATTCAAACTAGTGTGTCCACAATACGGGGAAGCATCAAAATTAGTCCGAGACAACCTCCATTAATGTGGACGCTCTACCTCGAACTTAGAGCTCCAAAAAACACTAGGAAGTAATTAGTAAGACTTACTCTGGGGACTAATTATTTCGAAATGGTGGCACCAGAGCATCCACACTACTGTTATTTTGAAATAACTATTTCGGAATTAGCATTACTCCTGATGAAAAGCAGTACAGATTTCAAATTCCGCAGCCTGTTATTTCAAAAAATGGGCTTGGTAGTGTGGATGCTCCGCTTATAAATTCAGTCTTGGGGAGGTTTATTTTGAAATAAAGTCCTACTGTAGACCCAAGGCTTACAGCCTAACACATTTACTAGGGTATAAGCTTTCAAGGGTAAAATCCACTTCATCAGATGAACTGGAGTGAAACTCCATTCCAATTGGATCCAATTCATCTGATTAAGTGGGTCTTATGCCCTAATAAATCTGTTAGTTTCTAAGGTGCCACAGGATGCCTTGCTGTTTTTTAAAATTACTTAAGTGAATAAGTCCATGTGCTTAAAACTTTGCCAGACTGGGCCTCAAATATGTACAACTAAATTTTAGAGCAAAGTCCTTCATTCTTTACACACTTATATGAGGACACTAACTGAAATACCCATTTCCAGAATAGCTATTATGCTTTAAACCTTCTACAAACCAATACAACTTTCAAATATACAGAAGCCATAAAATTCTAACTTGAAATCAGTGATTGAAACTCTGGCCATTAAAATCACAGGAATTTCTACCATTGACATTAGTGGAGCCAGGAGGATTTTACTCAGTGAGACTACTCGTGATAAAGTTAAACATATGCTTAACTGTTTTGATTGTTCAGAGTCATGATGGTCTTGCAGGACTAGACCAAACTACTACAAAAGGACAAATGGCAAGAATTCACATATTTTGCAACTAAAGTTATTTGGACTTGGATCCATAACCTTTAGTTTTGCAAATTTGAATTATCTTTAAGAATAAGCTGAGAATCTGATTGAAAAAGCAAACATTTGCAAATATAAGTTCTACCAACATACATCTATGTTATTTCTTTCCAAAATGAAGTTTTAATCACAATAAAACAGTAAAAAAAAGACAGATTTTAAATATTTACTTTAGATTAAAAACAAAAAGATTATAGCATTTTCATATTTTTTGTTCTAATAAATTAAGCAAGCCTAAGCAGCATATGGCTTGAAAATTTCACACACGAGGTAGCATGAATGGGGGAGCGGGAATAAACAAAAGTGCTCAAATCTAGGGGGAAGGAATAAGACCTAGGTTTTTTCCTCTAGTTCAGTTGTGAGAAATGTGAGACAGATCCACTCAATACCAGTACTAAAAAAATAAGACACACGCACATAGATAACAGTCATACTATATCTCTTGTTTAACTACTCAAGTAGTAACAGTTAAACAATATTTTTAACATGCAATAGAGAAAGTTAGCTTAACCAACATTGTTTTACTCAAAACATACTAGACATGTTTACTATTCATCTCTCTATATAAAGTTTTTAGATTTGTTCCTGCCCTTAACCTATAGATTAGAAACCACTGATAAATAAGCTACAATAAGAATATCTATTTGAATAGGTACAATTACTTCAGGGCTTATGTCTTTTCAATCAGTCAGTGTCCCTGCAGTGTTTAGAGTGGCAGAGGGGAAGTGGCCTGTGGTTAAACAGAGGAAATACCAAGGAATTTTAATAGAGCAAATAGTCTCTTTACTTCCTACAGGGTAGCACTTCAAAGGCAGCCCTGCCCCAGAGCAGACAATGTGTTACAGGGGCCATCAGTCATTTAATAGTATGTCAAGTCTATTCAAAACGTACATGCAATCCAAGATAAATACACACAACCAAGACAATAGGGCCCTTCCTGCAGTCATTCCTCTGGAAAAACTCCCACTGAAATCAATAGTTTTCCAATTAAGAATTATACAACAGAATCAGATTGAGTATCTAATAAAACCAGTCAGGCAAATTTGTTCACTGGAAATAAAAAATATACTTGTAACACAGACTAAGTGATTGGAATGTTTATTTAGAAAATTAAAACATAAAATTTGTTGTATGTGATACAAAAATAAAGATTTTCTTCACAGTAACTTGGAAGGTTGTATTTTTAGCAGATTTATTAGAGGAGAACCTTTTAAGAACTTCACATTAAACAGACCCAGATATAGTCAGTTTTATATACACAAATCATCCATAAGAAAATATTAATTCTATATATATTTCAGATCCCTCTAGATGTCAAGATAATCATAATTAACGAAGCATAACTCCTAACAAGTCATGAGAGTATATTTAATAGCAGCTGCAGAACCCGAGAGAAATTCGTATCTTTATAGTTTGAAATACGTGGTGTACACTGTTTACATCTTGTGACACGTAAGTATTGTGGTAAAATATATTTTTTCTAGTAAATGGAGTTAAAATACGTGAGTAGAGCTTGAAGGGTTCAATGTTTAAACTTTAATGTAGTTTAAAATATTTTTCTCTCTCTCACATAGTTTCCAGACTATTTTCTAAGTTCAATGAATTACACTATTCCCTCCAGATCCCTGACTTGTGCCTAGCAGTAATTTTTTCAAAAGATCTGAAAACTAAGGCAATCATTAGTGAGAATCAAACAACAAACAAAAAGGGTAATGAAAGTCAGTCTTGTCCTTCCTATGCCTCTTGGGATCCACAGTTTAACTAGAATTATCACCAACCAGCCTTTATGGAGAGAAAACACTAAAAGGTGTTTTTTTGAAAAACAAACAGGAAAACGAGGCAAGAAAAGTCTGAAGCTCAGGCCCTGGGAGCAGGAACAAAAGGTACAGACCAAAACTGGAATGTTTCACCTTCCAGTCCTTCACACCCCCCACCAACTCTTCCTACATCCTCTGTCTAATCATCAGGCCTGAAGCTAAGACATCCCCCCCAAAGCCGGCCTCGAATCATTAAAATAACAAAGCCCAAATGATCGCCTTTTATCCTGTTGGCAGGGCAGGTCGAGTTAAGGAAGGCGAGACCTGCGGATAAAGGAGCTGTTGAGTGACTTCTTCACACTCGCTGGTTAAAGAATCCCCCTTTCCCCCAGGGCGAGAAACCAATGACTGTCTGTTCCCTGGAAATGCCACCTTTCCTCCTGGCCGCAAATTACCAGTTGCAGAGCCCTGGAGCAGTAACAAGAGGAGTTGCAGAAAAAGGCGTTTTCCCCAAGCACGCTGCCCAGCTCTTCCTATTTGGGGGTAGCAGCAAGTCGAGCAGATAGGTGGACACCACACCTGCATTGCTCAGATGGGCTGGGCTGCAAAGAGTCCGCTGCCCACGGGACAGTGTTTGCCAGGCATAACTGGGAAACTCTGGCATCTCCCCAGGCCCATTTCGCCAAATCCTGCAAGTTTGCAAAACCCAACTCGGGGCACGAGTCTCCCCGACAGTGCGAAGAACCGAGAAACAAAGTTTCAAGTCCACTCACCCTCCAACCACACGCGTCGGCCGCGGGCCCCCGCCTGCTGCTCTGTCCTCCAGCAGCCCCAGCCAGCTGGTGAGCCTTGAAGCAGGCGATCAGAGCGAAGAAGAAAGAGCTAAGCTGGAGCCAAGGTGCCATGGTCTGCGGCAACAGCGCACGGAGACTGGAGTCTGAGATGCAGCAGCAGCAGCAGGAGGAGGAGGAGGTTCGCGGCGTGCATGCGCGAGAGAATGTGCAGCTGCTGGCTCCCTCCCCCCGTCCCCCATCACTGCTAGTGGCAGGGGGCTGTTCCCTGAGAACAGAAACATAATAACTGTCTGGCGCAGAAGGCAATCGTTGTCCCGTCTCCCCTGGCCCCTGTTAGGTCATGTACTTTTTTGGCAATGAAAGGAGATGCTTCTTCAAAGTCTTTGTACCTAAGAAAGATGAGATTACTCAAGAATACATTGGCCCCAGAAGGAAAAGTTAGCAGGACTTGCATGCAGTTGTCTGTGTGGGCATCTTTCCCATGGGCCTTTAAGGGTATGTCTACACTATGGAACAAAGTCTAAATAAGATATGCAACTTCAGCTACATTTAGGGTTGCCAGGTGTCTGGATTTGAACCGACAGTCCAGTATTTGAGCTTTCTGTTTGGGAAACAAATGAAGAAAATATAAATGTCCAGTATTTTCTAAATAAGATGTAATGTAGATTGTGATGTAATGTAAAGTGTGTCCAGTATTTTTGTTGAAACTATTTGGCAACCTATGTTAATTGTGTAGCTGAAGTCAAAGTAGCTTAACTTGGCTTTTGACGTCTATACTGCAGGAAGTCGAAGGAAGACCCCTCTTCCATTGACTTCCCTGAGGCTGTGTCTAGACTACACAGTTCTTCCGGAAAAAGATACACAAATTGCCAACCACAATTTGTGTAGCTTTTTCTGCTTCTTTTTTTGGAAGAGGCTTTTTCAGCATTTAGCCCATCTACAGTGGGTCAAATGTCAGGAAAAAAAACTTTTTTGGAACATCCCTTCTTCCTTGTAAAACGAGGTTTACAGGGATGCCAAAAAAAAGCATCTGTTCTTCCAAAAAAATTTTCGGAAGACCAGACACGTTCCTTGGACACAACAGAATTTTTCCGGGACACCAGAACTCTGCAGTCTAGACGTAACCTTACTCCTCATGAAATAAGGGTTACTAGCATTGATAGGAGTGCCCCTCTCAGTTCAAATTAGCTGTCTTAACTTTACTGCTAATTCGAACCCTGGAAGTTAGACTGCGGCAGCTTCGATCTTCCTCCACAGTGTAGACATACCCTGTCCGTGTCCTGTCCCTTCTGCGAGGATGTTAAAGATCATATGGTATTTCTAAAGAATAGGGGTTTGCTCTGGTAGCTAACCATCTTTCCCTCTCTTCTCCCCATCTATTATTCATGAATCTGCTACACTTTGTCTAGAGGTGAGTATATTTCAATGTCAGGAGATATATTTTGTCCCCACTCCTGCAAACAGGTAAGCATATATGTAACTTCACTCATGGGAGCAGTCCCAGTGAAGTCATAAGTAATGTTTACTCACATTTACATATTGGGGCTATAGCCTGCAAAACACTGAGAATTTTGCAATGAAAGAATAAATCATAACATTTCAAAAAAGATAAACTGAAGGTAAATGCTATTCAGTAAATTTAAAAGTAGAAAAATAGAAATTACTTGTATTTGTTTATTTTATCTTTTTGTGCTGCAAACTTTGACCAAAACTAAATTTCTTTTAAACAACAACAAAATGTTTATAATAAATTACAAAAATGTTATATTTTGATGTATTCTTGTCATGTCACCTAACAAACCTTTTGGGCAGAAGAAACACACAACCTTAATGACACTCTGGAAATTGTTCCTAAAACAGCTCACCTAAAATTCAGAAATGCACTCTGGATAAAATTTTCAAAAGCATCTAAGTGACATGATAATAGGCGCCTAAGTTTTATTGAAAATAAAGTGGAATTTACATTTCTTAGTCACTTAGAGTGGAATTTACATTTCTTAGTCTGCACTACAGCATTATTTTGAAATAACTCACATTATTTTAAAATAACAAGGTGAGCGTCATAAGAACATAAGAACGGCCAGACCAGAGATCCATCTAACATGGTATCCTGTCTTCTGACAGTGGCCAATGCCTGGTGCTTCAGAGGGAGTGAATAAAAACATGAAATCTTCAAGCAATCCCTCTCCCGTCACCCATTCCCAGCCTCTGACAGAGGCTAGGGACACCATTCCTACCCATCAGCCTCGATAGACCTAACCTCCATGAATTTATCTAGTTCTTTCTTGACCCCTGTTAAAGTCATAGGCTACATCTATACTGCTTTCTTTCTATACTGCTTCCTTTTTGCGCAAAAACCACAGTACTCCAGCTGAGGCCTAACTAGTGCAGAGTAGAGCGGCAGAATGACTTCACGAGTTTTGCTTACAACACACCTGTTGATACAACCTAGAATCATATTTGCTTTTTTTGCAACAGCATCACACTGTTGACTCATATTCAACTTGTGGTCCACTATGACCCCTAGATCCCTTTCCGCTATGCTCCTTCTTAGATAGTCGCTTCCCATCTTGTATGTATGGAACTGGTTGTTCCTTCCTAAGTGGAGCACTTTGCATTTCTCTTTATTAAACCTCATCCTGTTTACCTCTGACCATTTCTCTAACTTGCTAAGGTCATTTTGAATTATGTCCCTCTCCTCCAAAGAAGTTGCAACCCCACCCAGTTTGGTATCATCTGCAAACTTAATAAGCGTACTCTCTATCCCAATATCTACATCATTGATGAAGATATTGAATAGTACGGGTCCCAAAACAGACCCTTGAGGAACTCCACTTGTTATCCCTTTCCAGCAGGATTTAGAACCGTTAACAACAACTCTCTGACTACGGTTATCCAGCCAATTATGCACCCACCTTATCGTGGCCCTATCTAAGTTATATTTGCCTAGTTTATCAAGTGTAGATTAGCAAATTGCTGCAATTTATTTGCATAATTAATTAGGGGCCACTTGTGCAAGAGCCGTTCTTCCTGAAAAAATTAGGAAGAACAGCTCTTGCGGAAGAGGGGGTTTTTGTGCAAAAAGGAGCCCTCTACACAGTTCCTTTTTGCGCAAAAGCCTCTTGTGCAAAAATCGCCCCAAATTAATTATGCAAATGAAACATGGCAATATGCTAATCTGCACTTCTTTTGCATAGGCTTTTGCGCAAGAAGGAAGCAGTATAGATGTAGCCTTGGTCTTCACAACCTCCTCTGGAAAGGAGTTCCACAGGTTGAATGTGCACTGTGTGAAGAAAAACTTCCTTTTGTTTGTTTTAAACCTGCTACCTATTAATTTCATTTGGTGACCCCTAGTTCTTATGTTATGGGAACAAGTAAATAACTTTTCCTTATTCACTTTTTCCACATCAGTCTTGATTTTATAGACCTCTATCATATCCCCCTTAGTTTCATCTTTTCTAAACTGAAAAGTCCCAGTCTTTTTAATCTCTCTTCATATGGGACCCGTTCCAAACCCCTTATAATTTTTGTTGCCCCTTTCTGAATTTGCTGCATCCACACAGCAAGCCCATTATTTCAAAATTATTTCAAAATAACGGGCTTATTTCAAAATAATAAACCCTTATTTCATGAGGAATAACACTTACTTCAAAATTGTTGTTTTGAAATAGCTCCTAACCAGGGCCATTCAAAGTAATTACTCTTCAGTGCTTCCTGGGGCTCCAAATCGAGGTAGTGAGTCCACATTAGGGGAACTTGCTTAGACTAATTTTGAGGCTTTCCTGTAGAGTGGACAATGATTTTTGATAGTTTTATTATTGTTAATACAGCCCCAAAAGCAATGGCATGAATGAACCCAACAGGATCCCTAAGGCTATGTCTATACTACAAGGTTATTTTGAAATAAGTTATTTCAAAATAATAACTCTCGAAATAACTCTTTTGAAATAGGCGTTATTCCTCATAGAATGAGGGGTTATTATTTCGCTATAGCAAGCCCGTTATTTCGAAATAATACGCTTGCTGTGTGGATGCTTGCCTCATTATTTTGAAATAACATGAGTAGTATAGACATGCCCTAAAGGACTACATGGTTCAACATGATCAAAATAAAACTGTAATGCAACAAGTCATAACAAGAATGACCCAGGACTTGGACAATTTTGAAATGATTTGCGAAACCACAATCACTTACTTTAAAAAATAAATACAGTAAAACTCCGATGGTCCGGCATCTGACGGTCCGGCACTCCTGATGGTCCGACACCATCAGGAACCCGGAAGTGCTCCGGGCAGCCGGACCATTGGAGCTGCTCTGCCCCCAGCTTTCCCGATTCAGCCGCTGCTAAAACTGACCAGTGGCTGAATCGGGGAAGCCAGGGCAGAGCAGCTGGGGCGCCGCCCGGGGAGGGCCTGTAGCGCTGCCCCTCAGGGCCGCAGGA